GACAGTCCTCTATAGTTATCACACTCATCTTTTCTACCCTTCTTCTTGTATATAGGTGACACCCAAGACTCTTTCCATTCTGTCGGTACCTTTCCACCGTCCAAGCAATCTTGCATCAGGTATCTCAACCGTTGAAACAGCTTGCAGGTTCCACACTTGATCAACTCAGCAGGAATATTTCCCGGACCCGGAGCTTTATCGTTCTTTAGCTCTCGTACGGCCTTAACCACGTCCTCCATATGGATCTCCAAGTTATGATTATCGTTAGTATACTCCAAGCTTACACCTCCATCTTGAAATTCAGGTCGCCTTTCTGTCAGTAAATTTTTAAAATAACCCTCCAGTTTATCAATGGATATCGGAGATATCAAGTCCCGCTTCACGTCCCTTCGCAGCCCTTTCAGCAACTTCCAGCTCTCAGTGCTTTTCCTTCCTCCTATGTACGTGTCTATTTTGTTACAGCTCCTCTCCCAAGATTCGTTCTTTTTCTTGGTTATGAGCCTTCGTACCTGGGTCTGAGCTTTTTTATACGCCTCTTTGTCTTCTGTTTTTTTTGAGGAAAGGAACTGATGATATTTTTTACGTTTCTCCTGAATCTCCTTCTCAATTTCTTCGTCCCACCAGTTAGGTTTTTCGCTAACTTTCCTATCATCAGCGACACCAAGAGCCTCCATTGCTGCCGAGTGAATGCAATCCTTCAAGAACTGATACTGCTGTTCGGTATCACCGTCCCTTGATTCGCCTAACTTCTCATCCAAGCGCTTTCCATATAAAGCCCTTACACTTGGATGCTGCAAGCTGTCAATATTATAGTTCACAAGCTTGACACGATCTTTTTGTTGGTGAACCTGTTCCTGTGCTTGCCTGGTCTCCTGGCTCCCTTTCACTGGGAAAGCTATTTTCGCCCCGAGGAAATAATGATCACTGCCGCAGGAAAGACCTCTCCACACTCTAACTTGCTGAATCTTCATTCCCGTGTCTTGTCTAACAGTTGGACTATTAATAAATGATTAATAATTTGATACTTAATAGAAGTGTGTCTTATTTTGTTTGTGGGTTTGTGTACATCAGGAAAAGGATATAGAGCTAGAGAGACAATAATAGGATATTATCTGGTTCAAGTAATTGTCTCTTTAGTTATGCTTACATTTATTCTATTATATTATATATTTATTCTATTACTATTATATATTCAACTTAGGATATATATGTAGATAAATTCTAATTTTAGGATTAATGGTTAAAATGGGGATATTTCCTTTTCATTTTTGGTTTATTTTAATATGTGGAAAACTTGAATGAATTAGATTTCTTATTTTATCTACTCTAATAATTAAATATGTAAAATCAATTAATCTAACTATTGAACTCTAATGCGTACCAGTGCGAAACGGCGTACCCATGATGGCGTTTTAATGCCGTCTTGGATTTTGCGGCATGTTAAGTTGGGTTCACTGCCGAGTGTGATCTGCTGATGAGGTCTAAAAAGACCCAAACCGGTATAGATCTCTTAGCGTGACTCCAACTTAATATTCCAATGCAAACTGCCTGAGCTGAACACTCTCCCTCCTCAGTTTCGTACCGGTACGCATTAGAGTTCAAAAATTTAATTATGACTCTAATTATAATTTTTGGAACTTCTTGGCTTTGTTTTCCCCGCGAAATGGTCTGCACCCAGCACTACCCTGGTAAAAATTGGCGGTAGAATCTGTGTTCCAAAATACCATAGACCTAAAGCCGGCTGTAAGATTTCCAATAGCTTCTATATAGGAATGGCAGGCATCCATCAAAAGTACGGAGCTTTCCTCGCAAAATAAATCAAGATACTACGACACAAAAAGAGAGCGGTAGTCCAAAACCTAACGAAGTCCTGGTATCCGTATTTAGTAACGTTTAGTATAAACTTTATCGTCTGGCTGTTGCTTAGTCGCCATCGGCTATAAAAGGCTATAGAAATTGTGTAGTCGGCTATATTAGAGCGCCTTCAGTTTCGTATGATACTGTGCAATACCTCTGGTGTGAAATAGTTGCTTCAATCGCCGTGGCACGCTGCGGCGCGGCGCGGCGCGGCGGGCGGGCAGCCAGCGCAAAACGCGCATTGGCGCCTTCAAACCTAACAGGGATACTTCACGCGTTGCGCAATTCGTGAGGTATCCCTGTTAGGTTTGAAGGCGCCAGTGCGTCGCCGCTCCGCTTTTTGTTAGGCTCTAAAAATTAATCTGGCGGAGTCAGCGTTATTCAACTCATGATTTTGAAATGTTTACACATCCTGTATGGATTATTCTCGTTTTAATTGATGAAAAAAAATATGTATTAAAGGAAAATATAACGTGTGTTTTATAAATATTTAGGTGGTTCCGTATCAAACTTAATGATTTCCAAAGCACACGAATTTTTACACAATTTCTTATAGCCTTTTATAATCGACGGTGAAAAAGCAACAGCCAGGCGATAAAGTGTAGGCCGAGCGATAGGAACTATAGCCCGGCTGCATAATTTTTTATCGCTTCGTATAGCCCGACCGTATGATTTTCTCCGCATTCTACAGCCAGCTATATGGTTTTCTGTAGCCTCCTTTAGCCGGCTATAAGAATTCTTATGGTATTTTAAAACGCAGCTCTTATCGCAGATTTTTACCAGGGCATTTCTCCACCTTGTCAAAAATATACCTCGACAGCAAATTTTAATACTTACCATACCACAGATTTTATATAAAGTCGAAAGGAGCTAACGATAAGTGCAATCTTTAAATTTTACTAATTTCATATATTCGCTGTAGGAATCGATCACCCTGATTAGTTTTCCTGCAAGAATTGTAAAAATTGCCGAGGAAATGATAATATTGAGAGCTAACATACAATAGGTACCGCATAACTGACAATTTTGGCAAAAACGAGTTAGCGACTTTGCCGCATTCAACAGTATAAAGTACGCAAGCTGATGATTTTAGTTTTTTCAATGGAGATGTTGCATGCGTGAGGAATTTGCGATTTGTTGATTCTTATGTAAGAGTTTGTGAGAAACACGATGATGCCACTGGTTTTCTCTGAAACCAACTCCCGAGCTCAAAAAAAGCTCTCAAGCTGAGGCCAAAATGGCCGGGGATATCCCACGCTAGTTGATTTCAGAGAAAACCAGTGGCACCATCGTGCTTCTCGAAAACTTTTACCTAAGAATCAATAGTCAAATCGCAAATTCCTCACACATGCAACATCTCCATTCTATAGGAAAGCGCTTCGATGACGCTGTAATCTATGAAAGAATTGCGAATCTAACCTTAACAATACAAAAATGGCGAGGTTTTTTCTTCGCCCTGCAAAATCGTCTGTTTTCGAGGCGGTATTATTGAGGTGAATCAGATTCGGAATCAAATTCGTCGTCATTGGAGAAGAGGGTTTGAAACCTCTATGTGCAGCCTCGATTACTGCCGTGCTAAAAGGAAAAACGCCGGATGAACCTTCAGGCGTTGCCAAATTTCCTTTGATAAAACACGAATTTCCTGG